CCAAGTAGCCTGGACTCAGAATTGAAAGCTTTGGGGGAGGCGTGGTTTGACCTTTAGGTATTCTCTGGGACCTTAAGTGTATTTGAAAATGTATTTTGGACTGTTTGGGGGGAGGCCCGCATTGGAGTCTGCCTTTATTTAGCATGCTCTTTGGCTTTTTTGGGATTTTTTTTAACTGCTTTCCACCAACTCTACAATAGATGCTTTTTTTAAAATTTACGTTTCTTGTTGGAAGTATTGCAAATGTCCCCCTCCCCCCCATTGACCCTTTCTAGCCCCCTCCCCTTCCCCTCCCCCAATGTGTGTGTGTGTGTGTGTGTGTGTGTGTGTGTGTGTGTGTGTGTATCACACATATACATACATTCTTTGGTTACTCTTCCACCCCCCTCGTCAGTCTGTTCCATGCTATTATGTCTCTGGGTCTATTGTGTTCACCAGAATAGATTTTATTTTAAAAAATGTGTTCTTATTGATTTTTAGAGAGAGAGGAAGGGCGAGGGGGAGAGAAACATCAGTGAAAGAGAGAAACGTCAAACATCAATCCGCTGCCTCCTGCATGCCCCCTATTGGGGATTGAGCCTGCAACCCAGGCATGTGTCCTGATGAAGAATCCAACCGAAGATCTCTTGGTGCATGGGACACGCTCAAACCAACTGAGCTACGCTGGCCAGGGCTACAATAAATTCTTAATTGCACCGATTATGCTCTATTTGACTCCAGGCTGAATAATTGCACATTGCTGGGAATTCATTTTGTGAGCTTGCCATTAAAAATGTGTATAGGCCCTGGCTGGGTAGTTCAGTTGGTTAATGCATCGTCCCAATATGCCAAGGTTGCTGGTTCTATCCTCCGTCAGGGGACATAGAAGAATCAAACAATGAATGTGTAACTAAGTGGAACAACAAATTGATGTCTCTGTCTCTCTCTCCCCCTTCTCTCTCCCCTCCCTCCTTTCTTACCTTTCTTCCTCCCCTCTTCGCTCTCTCTATAATCAATAAAAAATTTTCTTTATGAACCACGATTCACTTTAGAGTGTAGTTCCAACCTTATACCCATTCCTTGAAGTCTGCAGAGGTCAAATATGATAAAATGGTTTGTGTTAGTTCTTATTTGGTAGTTCTCTAGTGTTTTACATGAGGGAATGACAGCTGTTATCAATTCTTAACTCCATAATCCAGGCATTAGGGATGATCCCCAGCCCAGCTGACAAGAGATAGGCATGTTTTCAAGTACTGTAATCTGAAGCCCTGCCTGTGGTGTTTCTGAAGGAGAGCAGCTTTCCAGTTCAATGTCTAATAGTTTGTCTGGTGGGTTTTTTGGGGGGTAGGGGGCGGTTTTATTTTGCAGCGGAGGAGTTATCAGTTTGGAATCTTCTTTGAATCCCCTTAATTGTATAATGAAATTGGCTGTTTGAATGGGCACTCTCGGGTCTTTGCTACCTTCTTGGGAGACAGACTGAAGTGCTGTGGTCTCTCATAGCTTTGAAAAGTTAGAGCTTCTGGTGTCAGACTTGACACCCGGGTAAGGCTTTATGATTGGAATTGAGACCACCGCGGTTATACTAACCCTTGGTAGGTAAGGATTAGTTAGAAAGTTACTGGATTGTGGTTGGGTGTCTGTTTAAAAACGTGTTCAGCGAAGCTATTATTGAGTTTAGTTTTTGCAGCCTTGGAGCTTCCGGGCATTTTAATCCACCATTTCACTGCAGTTGTAACCTAAGCCTGCTGGTGTGCCCGGCGGCTCCAACCACCATTTCATGGTCGTTTAATTACAGGCTCAGTTCTTTTGAGAAGTTGGGAAACCTCCTCAATTGGATCTGCAAACCAAGTATGTAAACCATTGCACAAATGCTCTTTTTAAACCCTTACAAGTAGGCACTTTTCCAGACCCCAGAAAAAACAACTGTGGGGCCCTAAGTTGTGGTGGGCCTGGATTTCGTTAAACGGATACTGTCCTCTGTGTTCTGGAAGGAGCCACTGAGCTGGTGCATAGTTTTGATCAAATGCATTTATGTGCTAAGCCGCAAACTCAAAAGGAGCCGGTATGAGCCCGCAAGTAGCATGCTCTGGATTCCTGAGTTGACTTGACCCGCCAGGTAGTTTCATTTACACCTTAATTTCTGTCTTTGCATGAAGGCTCTAACGATACCCAAATCCCACACACTGTGTTGTTGGGTGGGATGTCCAATAAAATGTTTGGAAGAGTGTCAAATGGTACATAGCATACGTAACACTAATTGCAATACTTAGGGCTGAGTACCTTGAAATCGTGCCAGTGGATAAAGATGCTCAGTTATAAAGAGGTGTGAATTTAACGTACAGAAATACAAGGAAAGTTCTGCTGGCAAAGGTAGAGGCGGAAAGTAATGGGGTGGGCATGTGATGTGAAGGTTGATCTACTTATATAAAGGACCTCTTTGAGTTAGTAGAGCAGAATTTTAAAAAGACACTTTGATTTTTAAAATATGACTTCATTGGATTTGTGTTGCATGATTTTGTTTTTCTAGAATGGGAATTTCTGCAGTGAGAACCCTGACCAGTTTCTAGGATCTTGTTATATTTCACCAAATTGTCTCTTCCGAAGGACTGCAGATCATAGTGGTCAAGCCGGACTGATAGGCTAAGGGGCCTTCTGAATTTCTAGAGGTGAATATAGAATGTATCTCAAACTTGGTTCAAAATGGGACCCCTTTTTCTTTTCTTTTTTTTAAAATATATTTTATTGATTTTTTACAGAGAGGAGGGGAGAGGGATAGAGAGTTAGAAACATCGACGAGAGAGAAACATCGATCAGCTGCCTCTTGCACGCCCCCCAGTGGGGATGTGCCTGCAACCAAGGTACATGCCCTTGACCAGAATCGAACCTGGGACCCTTGAGTATGAGCCAAACCGGTTAGGGCAGACCCCTTTTTCTTAGAGTGGTTTTCAGGACCAGGGCCTTGGGTCACGCTTTGGGAAACAGTACTGGTGTAGGTTTTAGAAATAGTTTAAAACTGGAATTTTTTTTTAAAATATATATTTTATTGATTTTTTTACAGAGAGGAAGGGAGAGGGATAGAGAGTTAGAAACATTGATGAGAGAGAAACATCAATCAGCTGAAAACTGGAATTTTTGAACTACATAATGCTGCAGCTGGTTTATGTGGCCCCGTTGGTTTGAGAGTTTTGAGGAAGAGGGTTATAAGTGTGTTTGTCTAAATGTTTGATGTTCCTAAGTGGGTTTAGTCTAAGTTGGAGAGAGAGAAAAGGGCTTACCATCAGTTGATTCCCTTTGGTATGGAGTGCAAAAGTATGATAGGACTTTTTTTTTCCCAAAGCATTTTGTGAATGTTAAATTGTTAGTGGATTTCCTGTGTGTGTGTTTTTTTCTTTGAATAAAGACCTGGCAGTTTACTTGAAGAAACTGCAGAAGCTGTTCAAGTAATGGTTCATGCATTTGTCTTTTTACATAAATTTGTTTGCTTTAAAAGCTACTTGTTTTAGACTATATATAGGATGTAGGGAAAGGGGAAACCCAGATCTGGAATCCTATCACCAGTAGATAACCACTGTTGATGTTTAGTGTATGGGACCAATAAGCCATGTTCTTGTTGCATGTATAACTAGGGAAGGCAACGCAATGTCTTAATTAAAAGTACTAGATTTTAGAGCATGACTGCTTGAGTTGGAATCCTGGTTGTACCACCACTAGCTGTGTGACGTTGGGCATGTTCTGTACCTCTCTGGCTTACTTGGCTGGCTACTTTAGTTACCGGATTGAATAACACCAGGGAGAGTGGACATCCTTGCCTCACAACCATTCAGTCTGTTACCATTGAGTATGATGCTAGCTGTGGGGTTTTTGTTGATGATCTTTATCAAGTTATGGAAGGTCCCTTCTATTTCTTTCTTTTAAAAAAATACTTTTATTGATTTCAGAGAGGAAGGGAGAGGAGAGAGAGAGACAGAAACATCAATGATGAGAATCATTGATCGGCTGCCCCCTGCATGTCCCCTACTGGGGATTGAACCCACAACCCAGGCATGTGCCCTTGACCGGAATCGAACCAGGGACCCTTCAGTCTGCAGGCTGATGCTCTATCCACTGAGCAAAACCAGCTAGGGCTATTTCTATTTTTCTGTGAATTTTATTTTGAATGTTACATAACTTTTCTTGCATCATTTAATATCATGTGATTTTTCTTCTGTAGCCTATTAATATGGTGCATTACATGGAGCTTTAAAAATACTGAACCTGGAATAAATCCTGCTGGATAATGGCTGCTTATCATTATTATTATTATTCACCATTGAGGACATTTTTTACATTGATTTTTAGAGAAAGTGGAAGGGAGGGAGAGTGAGGGGAGAGAGAGAGAGAGAGAGAGAGAGAGAGAGAGAGAGAGAAAGAGAGAGAAAGAAAGAAACATTGATGTGAGAGAGACACATCTATTGGCTGCCTCCTGCAGGTGCCCTAGTTGGTTGGGGCAGGGGATTAAACCTGCAATCCAAGTAGTTGCCCTTGACTGGGAATTGGACTTGAAACCCAGGCTGGCCAGGGCTAATTATTGTTTTATGTTGTGGAAATTTTACTTGTTAAGGATTTCAAGGATTTGCCCAGGATTTGTTAAGGATTTTTGTGTTTATAATTCTGGCGGATATTGGTGTGGTCTGGAAGTTTCTTTTGGGGTCATTTGTGGTTTTGTGTTAGGATAATGGCTTCATTAAAATGAACTGGGAGGAGTTCGCTCCCTTTTTATTTTCTGGAAGAGATTATGTAGAATTGGTGTTAATTCTTTTTTAAATGTTTAGTAGAATTCTCCAGTGAAACCATCTGGCCTTGAGATTTTTCTTTTTTTCAGTTTTAAAAATTATACATTCAATTTCCTTGTTAGTTAGAGGGCTGTTCAGATTATCTCTTTCGTATTGGCGAATTGAGGAATCGGCCCATTTCCTTCTCAGCTTGTCAAATTTATTTGTGTAGAGTTGTTTGCAGTATTCCCTTATTATCCTTTTGGTGTTTGTAGTGATCTCTCTTGTTTATTCCTAATATTGGCAATTGTGCCTTCTCTCTCTCTCTTTTTTTTTTTGTCAGTCTTGCTCGAGTTTGTCAATTTTATTACTTTTTTTCCTCAAAGAAATAACTTTTTGCTTCATTTTTTTCAAGTTCATTGATTTCTGCTATTATCCTTATTATTTCCATCCTCTCTGTTGGGTTTGCTTTTTCTAGGTTCTTGAAGTAGGAGCACAGATTAGTGAGTTGAGACTTTAAATATTATTGAATATTATTCAATCTGTAGTGTGGGGGTTTCTGTTAGCTGCTAATGTCACTTCCATGTATTCTTAAAAAACAGCAGGGGCCTGGCCATCATGGCTCAGTGGGTGAGTGTTGACCTTTGAACCAGGAGGTCACGGTTCGATTCCCAGCAGGGCACATGCCTGGGTTGCTGGCTCCATCCCAAGTAGGGGGTGTGTAGGAGGCAGCCGATCAATAATTGTCATCGTTGATGTTACTATCTCTCCCTCCCTCTCTGAAATAAAAAAAGATTTTTTTTAAAAAAAGCTGGGGTCCTAATTATGTAGGTTACTAGCTGGTCCCCCTCCCCACCCCCGCCTCCCCACATTTAATAATATTCCTCAGATTTTAAGAACATCGCTTCTGGAAATTCAGGTTGTAGAATTACAGCTAAAAGTGTCCCTATGCCTATTGGTTAGAAATTTAAAGCTGAAAACACTTTATACCAGGAGTCAACCAACTAAGGCCCTGGGCCAAATCCTGCTCTCTGGCCTATTTTAGTATGGGCCTCCAGCTGAGAATAAATTTGGCATTTTTAAAGGGTGGTAAAACACATGTAAACACACATTTGTGACAGAGAACTGCTTTGGCCTGCAAAGCCTGAAATCTTTCCTATGTGGCCCTTTATAGAACAAGTTTGCCCCGCGCTGCCTTTTCGCGAAGTCCCATGGCCTGCTTCAGAGCCATCTGTAAAAATTTACCAGTACAGATTCCCAGGCCCCGCATGGCCTTTTTCTCATCTGGAATCCATCAGCTCACAGGCCCCTCTCCGTGTCTGAGTTCTGACTTGTGTCCTTTGTCTTTCATCTCTGTGCTGTTCTGTGGTCACGCTTCATTGTCCAGTGCCTTCTAGGTGCTGAGTAATCTCGGAGGTCCATTCTGAAGGGGGCAAACCTAAATGTCTTCGCTGAGTCTGCCCTGGTCAAAGTCAGAAGGGACAGTGCCAGCGCCTCAGGATCAGCTCTGATAGGTGATTTCTGACATCACAAAATGCAAACTCCTTTTGTTGTAATGTACCCCGCGAATCACAGAAGGACGCCTCAAGAAGTCGAATTAAAGAGTCACATTTATTGCAATCCGGGACTGTGAGGGGCCATTCCCCAAATCTCATAGCAATAAGATGGTCGCAGCTCCAAG